CCTGTATCCGGGATCTTGCCCTTTCGGTCATGACCCAAAGTTCATGACCATAGGTGAGAGTCAGAACGTAGATTGACCAGTAAATCGAGAGCTTCGCCTTACAGCTCAGCTCCTTCTTCACCACGACGGATCGGTACATCGACCGCATTACTGCAGAAGCTGAACCGATCCGCCTGTCAATCTCCCGTTCGGGAAAGTGAGTTTAGTTTTCTAAAAATTCATTTTACAAATGTCAGTTTTGGTCTGTGTAAATTTACATTTTGAACTCATGTTTTTCAATTTTCTATCCATGAAATCCCATAAAATATAAAATTGAAGTAGTGTTTGTTTTTATTCATGCTTTGACTGCTTGAGAGGGTGAGATCTAAACACCAACTCAACATATTTCAGCGGTGTAGCTCAACTCTCATAACCCCAAGCTTCGTGGAGGTTCACATCCCGTCTGCCTTCGGGCCATCATGGTGGCTTGTAGAGACGACTGATCAAGGTGAGATCCATCAGGTTTTCTTCTACTAAGTCCACAGCAGGCATAGCTTCCAACTCACAAGAAAGAGTGCGCGCATACGGACATGTAGCATATAGCTTGATTTTGGTGTATAGTATACAATAGCATTATGATTTGTGGTGTGAGAGCAATACCACACCAACCACATGATTCTGTGACTGTAGATACAATATCTGATTTTATTATGAAATTTCACCTCCTATTGAATCCATAGACTAATAATGGGAACTGTCATTTTGAAAGGATGGTAGCGCTTTGGTTTATCTGCTCATATGTGGGGGTTGAAACAGAGGTGTGTAGAGTTTACGTGGTAAACTGATGTATTTTGGTAGTTCCTACTAAAAAGTAAATGAAACATGAATTAACTTGTTTGTCTAATGGCATGAGACAACCAAGCTATCAATATCTTAGCCAAACCAGCTAAACTCTCACCTTAGCTTCATGTCATTAATTATATACAGAACATTTTATATAATTGCATTAAGTGTGACTTTAGTGTTCTGTGTTTATTTGAATACAGCTTTTTTATGTTTTTATAGTTGAGGTGTTGTCTCAAAGACATTTCAGCAGAAACATAATAAAGCTGCATTGTGCTATAGCATTACCTACTTCACATTGACTAAAGTGTACCTGATGGTAACAATCTGGCCCACATCCAGCTCATAGTCATTCAGTTGGGCGATGAAGATGGCCGCCACCGCCTCATACAGAGCTGTGCCATCCATGTTAATAGTGGCACCCACTGGAAGGACAAAGCGGGTGATTCGCTTGTCGATGTGATTGTTTTCCTCAGCACATCGGAAGGTAACAGGTAGAGTGGCAGAGCTGGAAGACATTCATCATATTTATCCGGCTTTGTAACTGTGATTCTCTGGCCTGACACACAATATACTGTATGTCTTTCCTTCTGCACTGAAATTCTATTCATTTGTATGCTGCTTTTAAGACAATGTATGGAAGAGTAGTGTTGGTGTTAAATTATGCAGTAATATGAGTAGAATTCTGACCTTGAGGAAATCATGAGTGCTGTCACCAGGGCCTGCGCCATTCCCAGTGTGAAGGTAAATGGGTTCTTCCTCACAATGACAAAGTAGATCAGTGGCAGAACGACAATGGCATGGACTGCTAGACTGAAGAACAAAACAAATACAACCATGTACTCGATAGGAATTGCTTTATATAAAAACATGCACTCCCCATGGCTCTGCTCATTAAACTGTTAAAAGCTCTTTTACTTGCTCAGTTGCCCCTTAGACAATTCAACACGTTTTTCTGAAATTTATTTCAGTTTGTCATATGACAGTGTGATGCTAATCAGTAGCTTTGCACTTACAGTATGATGCCAGTACTATTTTCCTTATAAGGTATTTTGTAGAAAATTACGTTTCATGATTGGATTTGACATCACAGTGGGCACTGTTTCAAACCCCAAATTTTAAATAAAGTAAAAATACAGCAGAGACTGAGATTAGTTATTATACCATCATCATACCACCTCTTTAAAAAGTTATTTTAAAAGGTTATTAAAAGGATAAAGAATTAAAATGTTTAGAATAATTTACACAATGCATACAACAACTATGAAAATGTATTCACTTTGCTGCAGTTTCTCTGTTGTCTTAAAGAAGGCAATCATTTAGCCCTCAGAAAAACCTAGATGAAGTTGGAATTATGTTTAATGCTCAGCAAGAAAATAATGATGTTTCATGTGGAAAAATACTATGTAATTATGTGTTAAATTAACCTTGGAGGCTTAATTTTTTTTCCGTCAAATCACATTTTAAATTTTAGCCGCAGGTACATCATAGTATGTTACATTTTTATACATTTGAAAATTCCAACTTCACAAGTAACTAGTACATTTTTATTTAGGCACTATATACAAAGCTTTGGGGAGGGGAAGGAGCATGAATCTTGGATTGTCAGTCCTGGGAGTGTTTGGACTGATATAGATGAAGGCCTATACGTAATACTCATCAAACTGGAATGAGAAAGAAAATCATAGCCTGGTTCACCAAAAAATGTGAGCATACCCTAACTTCAGTAAATAGAAAAAATACGCAAGCCCTTTTAAGATACAGCCCCCTAATATTTATTGTACAGTCCCTCAGTCCCTACCTTATTAGCAACTTGAACACACTGCACTCACACAGCCCTAATAAAGTTTCTGAAGCAAAAACCAAGACATACATACAAATAAAAGCTCTTGAATTAATGGAGTGAAGGTTAAAATGTCTGTTCACTGAAGGGATTTCAGATATAGTACTTCTAAAAAAGACAGATTTATAGAGATTTTTATTTGACATTAAAATGTTTAAGAGGGATGAAAACTTTTTGTAGTCATTCTGTGCTGCCTTTAGAACTTTACTTAAGTATGTCCATTGTGTAGAAAAATACTGATGGAGCACTCAGAACCTTTGACTAACCCTGTGACCTAACTAGAGGCGATTTACTATACAGTCTTTAATGGTGTCACTTAGATTTAGAGGCATGAGGGAAGCTTTCATTACTGCTTCTGCAGGTTGAGCAGTTTTAAATGTCCTTGGCCCTTATCTGTGCCCACACAGAGCTCAGGTTTTACTGTATCACTGGGGGGCGAATCAGCCCAAATGTCAACCATAAATCCCAGTGTCTGGAACAGGCGGATATAGAGTAATGGGACAGCTTACCCACTCAGCACAGTCACCATATAAAGACCCATCTTCCTGAAGATCTCCCAGTCTTCCACCTCGGTGATCTTTGCAGCAATTAGGAACAGGATCCCTACTGGCATGTAGCTGAAATGATAAGTTGCTTAATTGATTAGTCAATTGAAGGAAAAATGATAAGCAACAAGTTTAATTATTGATTAATCAATAAAGTTATATTGTTTTAAAAAAGCCCCAAATTAGCTGGTTCTAGCTTCTCATATGTGATTTTCACACCCCCATGCTGGCGGTAGCCGCGGCCACAAACATTATTGTTTCATTTGTCTGTCCATTTGTCTGGTACAATTGTCCACTTAGACTCAAGAATGAACTGATTAGGTTTCGGTTGTCAAAGGTCAGTGACCTCATTTCTAGTTTAGTGACAACTAGTGTTTACATGATGACAAATATCGGTAAAGCTTGATAGTGCGACACATACACTGTTGTTATTGTTGGTGGGATTGTTGCGATTCCTGTCTCAACCACAGGAGTGCTATTTAATGAGACTCCTTTAAGGATCGGTTGAGAGGGAAGGGACAAACAACCACATGGGTGGTATAGGTTGGAGGACTTCTTGGTCCATTCTTTAAAAAAAAACTTTAATAAGTTGAATTTACATAGTTTTAAAAACCCAAGTGGTGATCATCAGTTTACCATTTAATTTTTGTGTACTTTGGAAAGCCCAGGTTGTAGATCAGCCTGTTGTACATACCACATAATTATCTGGACCAGTTTCATGGTTGCTTCATTCAGGGCATCAAAAAATTCCAGGAGGATGCGTCCTTTTTCACCCATCTTCCCAATGACAAGGCCAAATGCAACACAGAACACAATAAGCCCCAGCACGTTGATTCCATCCGAATATGATCCTGTGATTTTATAGTCCTTAGTGATATTCTGCCAAGAGAGAAACAAGGGAGTGATTCATTCAGTTAGCTAAGACCAGGTCCAGAAGCTGCATTAGCTGACTCTAAAGATTCACTGACAAGCTGTGCAAATATTTGCTAAGGAATCACAGTCCAGTGATCCATGGTTACTTATGACTCATTATGGCGTCGTCTAAAGCATTTACTGTAGATCAGGTGTTGGTTGCCAGGTGCAGAAACATGAAACGTAAAGTGGAGCAAATGCATCAACAAGGATAAACTGTTAACTGGCATGTTAAGATAAGAACAGTCATGGAGTTGTTCTCAACAGAGGATGTTAATGAACAAGGCAATGTATCAATAGTACTTACTGCTGTAGACGAACAGGGAAGGGAAGTGTGCACACCTACCTCTACCACTGCGATGGAAATATTTATCAGAGATGGAAATGTTGTGTTGATTGAAACTTTTGGAGGCTCCAACTCTTTGCGCTTCGTCTTGTACTAGAGTGTAAATGGTCACATTTCACAACATCAGAGTTACGTTCACGTGATACATACTCTGTTCTCACCAGAGTAAATTACTCAAATATAGATTTAAATGAACATGTTTTAAAAATGGAACAGGAATGAATAATGAATGTGCAAAGCCTCTTACCTGCTGAAAACAAGCCTGCACCAGATTTTCTGGAAACATATTTCTGTTGATGAGAAAAAAACCGAATGATTTGAGGTGAATTAAAGACTCAGATAATAATGATGTGTACTACAGTCATTCCTTGATAGATGGGACATTGCAATGATGCTTCATGAAGTTCAAAATCCAAAAGAATTCATAGAGGCTGCAAATATGGTTACCTGCTTCTGAGACAGTAGTACTGTACAGAACCTGACAGCCAAATCAGCTTTACTTGTTGGTGTAACATAACCTTTGACATAACTTTTGAGTTGATGTAATATTTCAAGCTATTAAAATTTTTAAATTGATGTAACTTTTTGAATTGACAATACATAATGATACATATAATGCCAAAATCACAAACCCTCTTAGTGTGATGGTTTGCACTTTTCACTCCAACTCTCTTTATCATACTTCACACAGCTAATTCCTGCACTTTTGTGTGTCCACCAAGAATTCTATAGGAGGGTGACGAATGAACCATGCTGTAAGGAGGCTAAAAGAGGATTTTATGGGGCAAAACTGGGAATCAGTTTACAGAGAGGAAGACTTAGATAAAGCATATGAGCAATTTTTAAATATATTTAAGAAAGTATATGACAGGAACTGTCCTCGTAAGCAGTATAAAAACAAAAGGAATTACAGTGGGAAACCGTGGATGAGTAAGGGATTACAGAATGCATGTAAAAAAAAGAATGTGTTATATAAGGAATTCATAAAGGACAGATCAAAGAAGGCGGAAGAAAAATATAAGTCATATAAGAACAAATTAATTGAGATTTTGAGGAGATGTAAGAAACTATATTACTCTAAAGTATTAGAGGATAATAAAAATAACATGAGAGGTACTTGGAATATATTAAATAAACTGATTAGAAACAGTACCAGCATGAGTAACTACCCTTAATATTTTATGGATAATGACACACCGGTCAATAGATTTGAGGATGTAGTTGATAAGTTTAATAGGTTCTTTGTGAATGTGGGTCCTGGTTTAGCAAGAAGCATTTGTACAGATGATACATCCGTCACTATAAATAACAATACAATTGAAAGGAATATGTGTTCTATGTTTCTGAAGCCCATAGTTGAAAAGGAAATTATAGAGATAGTGAATAAATGTGATAACAAAACATCTAGTGATAGTGATGGTATAACTATGACAACTGTTAAATGGGTGATTGAGGGGATATGCAAACCATTAACCCATATTTTTAACATGTCGTTTCAACTTGGGCAGTTCCCCAATAATATGAAAATAGCAAAGGTTATTCCACTGTATAAATCTGGTGATAAGCACAACTTCACAAATTATAGAACGGTTTCTCTGTTGTCACAATTTTCAAAAATCTTG